TGAACGGGTTTAAGAGTTTTAAGAGTTTAAGAGTTTTTAAAAGTTTTAGCCAAATGCATTATAATATAGTATAGATATAGATAAGGAAAAAGTAAGAAAGAAAAGGAGAGGACATAAGAGAGAGAAAAAAAAAACTTTTCAAATTTTTAGGCTATTTAATGTTATTTATAGGTTTTTTATTGACTTTTTTAATAGGTGAGCTGTTAAATAACAACCTCTTTTATAAGAAGAAAAGTCAATGCACTAAAAGTGTAAATTAACATATAATGAAGGGACTAAATTTACAATTTCTCAAACTTCAATTAGGAAAATGACATATATACCCCTACATCAACATCGGAAAACACGCGCCCTCTTTTTTCTCTTCTGCCGCTGCCAAGCCTGGCTACTTGTGCCTTATGGACCCAAAGTTCGCCGGAAGGCCAATCGCCGTCGCCTCCTCCTATTACGGAGGTGGCCGGATGGACATCGAGCAGATGCCTGAAACTCCTAATCGTGGGGCCCGCCACCGCCGAGCGCAGTCGGAGACGTTCTTCCGGTTGCCGGACGAAGACATACTTCTAGATGATGTTGTTGCCGATTTTAACTTCGCCAACATCGATTTACCTTCTCTGTCATCCGACGCTCCTATCCCAACAACCACCGGGGATTCCTCGTCTAAGTCGGAGGGAGAGTCCTCCGATGTCAACGCTGCTAAATCGACGGCAAGTAGGCCGCTTAGCACCTCTAGCCATATCAGGAGTCTGTCGGTGGACGCTGATTTCTTCGATGGTTTAGGGTTGAACTCCGCCGCTGAGTCGGAGAAGTTTAGTGGTGGTGGGTATCGCCATAGACATAGCAATTCCATGGATGGGTCTGCTGCGTCGTCGTTTGAAGGGGATTCGATGTCGATGATGCTGGATAATTCAAAGAAGGCACTTGCACCTGATAAACTAGCTGAACTCGCTTTAATTGACCCCAAGAGAGCTAAAAGGTTTTGATTATTTTCCTTGAATTTTTGTGGTTTCTTGTTCAATTGGGCGTTCTGTCTTGGGGGAACTTTCTGTTTTAAATAAGCATAATTGAGTTGTTTCTTCGTGAATTGGAGTATATTTATGCTATATAAAGATGCCTAGATATGATTGCTGGTGTTTTCACCAATAGTTTACTAAAGATCTTATGTTTCTTAGCATTCTATGGTATTCTTATGCTGCTGAAGCTTAATTTCATATATATTGGTGAATTTTGTTATGTTCGCACAATTTTGTGAAAGTAAAACTACATAAACTTTGGTTTGTCATTGTTTGTAGGATTCTTGCAAATAGACAGTCGGCTGCCAGATCGAAAGAGAGGAAAATTCGGTACACTGGTGAGTTGGAGAGGAAAGTGCAGACCCTTCAAAACGAGGCAACAACGTTGTCAACCCAAGTCACAATGCTGCAGGTAAATGTCATAATTTTTCTTAGATCTTTGCAGGATGCATGTTTGCGTATGCATTGGATAAATGAATATGCTTGTAAAAACTATTTCTATCTTTATTTAATGATTCTGATGTTTTTTCATGCGAAGTCTATCAAATGTCCAAACATACTAGAGTCTCATTTCCTATTCATACCTATAGTGCATCGAGTCCATTTTCTCTAGTTCTTAGTGATGTATGGGGTCCTTCAAAAATCCTGTCAATTTCTAATAGAAGATTTATTTCATTCATTGATAATCATACTCGAGTTTGTTGGATTTATCTTTTACATGACAAAGATGAAGTTGTTAGTATCTTTGAAAAGTTCCATTCGATGATCTTTACACAATATGATGCAAAGATCAAAATTCTTCAAACAGACAACAACATCGAGTATTTCAATTCAGCCATGTCTATATTACCACAAGACATGGTATTATATACCAAAGCTCGTGCGTTGATACCCCTCAACAGAAAATGGCGTTTCCGACCGTCACTTGATGAAGGTAGCATGATCGTTACTCTCTCAAAGTCATACACCCAAACCTTTTTGGGGTGGTGCAATTCTAACAGCGTGCTATCTCATTAATTGGTTGCCTTCACGCCAGGTTTTTTAAGAAAAAGAATGAGAAAAGAATAAAAGCTTTTTAGAGCATTGATACCATAAAAACTTTAGAGAAGTAGGAAGAATATTATTTCCTACTATATGTTGATTATAGTATAAGGAACTATATATACAAGTAGAAGTTAGGAGATAGACTACAACTACAACTCCTAACAATATGGGATAAGCATTTATCTACAAACATTTTCTTATTAAAGTCTATCTATAACTCCCCGTTATCCATATCCGATTACTATTCTAGTGATTGTATCATATGCCAACATGTTACTTTGTAGTTTTTGGTGTTGCATCTACGCCAACAAATGGTAACTAGGTGTTGCTATTTGACCTTGGGGTCTAATCAGAGCTTTGAACATATAAGAAGAGACATATGATGTTAATGATTGTGAGAGGAAATTTGTAGGGAGGGGTTCAAATAGCATACAGAGTGGGTGGTTTAACTCACCGATCATCTCTTAGAATCTGAGTACCAAACTTATTAATTCCTTTATTTTTTGGTCTCGGGATCTTCACTTTTGATTTCTCTTTATTTTTCAGATTCTTTCAAACCTTTTGGCAATGTTTCTAGAACTCTCGAGTCACAACTTTTTCGCACACGTTTTTTTGCAAGGGAGGGTGTTAATGGAGACATCCACCCTACTATTTGTTTGGGATAGAGAAGTTTGTGTACATCTCACTCTTGATGTACTCTACAATCAATAGTAATAAATTGTGGAGATACATTTGTATTCAATCCCTCAAAATCATATGCTTGCAAGGGTTTCTGGCTCTTTGAGAGGCTGAAGCTCTCTCAGGCTCACACCAAACAAACTTTACTAATCTGATAACCTTTTGTCACTCCACTCTTACCTATTTAACAAACTATTCATTGCTACTCTTCCCTTTTTGCCCCTATAAAACATAATACCCTAAATAACCACATAACCCCTACACCTCCCTCTTATCTTATGTTATTACAATATTAGTATAACTACTACCCATCGTATCATTCGTAGCTGATAGTAGGAATGGCAACGGGACGGGTATTGGTATTGCCGTCCTCGAAACCGATAACGAAAACCATCCCCGTAATTGTCTCGATCCCCGTCGGGGATATAAGATCCAAAATCCCCAGAAGGTCCCCGCAATCTCATTGATCCCCATTGGGGACCCGTCTAGGGTAAAAAGCCTCTTTCCCCGTTGGTTTCCCCATTCACCGTTGGTTATACTCGAACCCGAAACCAAAATTGACTTGAAAAAATAACAAAATGTTAATTTTCACAACTAGAAGTAAATTACACTTGTGTGTTTAAACAAGCAATTGTAAATGTGTCAAACATAATCAAACCAATTACAAACAATGTCTTAGATTACAATATAAAAGTAGATAGAAGTTCAAATATCATCCAACTAACATTAAGATTTCACAATTTGACAAATAAACCAGATTTTTTCGTGAGGCTTATTTGGGGTTTGAGGTGAAGTGGATAAAAAACCTTTTAAATTTTAATGTTAGTATTTTTCTTTTGATGATATTATATATATATAAATTAATATACACACACACACATATCAGGCTAGGCCAGGCCGATGATTACCGTCCCCGATCCCTACCCCTTCCTGATAACAAGTCCCCGAACCCGGCTTGGAAATTTCGGTTTTCGGTTTTCACCATCGTTTTCGGTTTTTTTGCCATCCCTAGCTGATAGCCTTCCAGGGTATAACAATACCCGCTCCCAACTCTTATCTTGTCCTCAAGGTGGATAGAAATGAAACATAGATTGATTCTTAACTTGCTCATCTAGCAATTTCTGCTCATTAATTTACACCAAACTTGGCATTGGACTGCTAAAGCAACATTGATTCCATAACTTCCGAACAAAACTATCCTTAAAAGAGTCTTCGGTATTTTGGGGCCGAATGTTGATAAATCTCCACTAACACGACCTCTGTTATCCATGTTCAAAAGCTCATTCTTTGGGGACCTTAGACCTTTTTAATGTTGGACCCGAGCCACGCTTGATTGTGTCTCGCTTACACTTCTCATTTCTAATAATCATTTTCCACATTGTTATGGTTAGCGGAACTTTCAGGTGGTGGTTGTTGCTACTGGTCCTTCCTTGTTCTATCTGGATTGTGTTTGAAGTATTGTTCTCCATGTTCAAAGGTCGTCATCCACTGTCGTCACCAAGTGTAGCAACATACACAACCTCTTTTTTACGGTTCTTTCTAGATAGACTAGCAGTTTCTTAGTCGAACCCTTTACCCTTCACGTCTTTAGGTTGTCATCTTTAGTATAAGTGCAATCTAGTATCTTGTGATCTTCAATAAAGTGAGACCTGTATCTCTTCTTTTGGTTTCCCTCGCCAAGGAAGAAGAATCTAATGATTTCACTAATTCTGTGAGAAAACCAGTTTGTTAGAGCTGGGGCAGAGAAGCAATCAACAGAATGGGTCCCTGTTGTTCACAAGTGAAGGCACTGAACGGATCAAGATCTCGTAAATTCATTGTCTTTCTTGATTCAAATCAGAAAGAACTTCTTTCGCTATGAAGGCTGAAGGCTCTAGTGGGCGTACTGTTTTACCTGTCCAAGCATKGCAAGCAAATGGTTTTTGAAAAGCGCTAGAAGTCGTGGTCGGGCTATTAGATGATTGATTTCTCTCTTGTTTGGTACGCTTGTTCCATGTGACCTTGTACCTCTATGCATGACATCTTTAAGCATTTCTCTTTCTACTTGAGCTGTGGCAGTTGTATTATACAATCCAGCCTGTAACACTTTGGAATCAATGCCCATCTTCTTTGCCCACTCCAGTGTCACCTCTTCGACTGAGCCAAATTGACCAATACAACCCTTACTTCCTTTTCTGACCAATACAATGTGCTCGATCCTCTGCTTGTTGGTCCCTCCCTTTGGGGATTCTGGTCACTGTTAAATATAATCACAACCATCTATAAATTGAGACCAAGACCTTCTGCACATGTGCTTAAATGAACATTAAGAAAGGAGAGTCTAGAGCATTAAACTACTTCAGCAAGGTGCCCTCTTCTTCTTCTTTCTTCTTCAGGTAGTATACTTTCTGCCATTGTGACAAATCACATTTTACTATGACTTGTGTTGTCTGTGGAACACACTTCTCCCCCCATCTTTCTTTCTTCTCAAAATAAATGGTCTTATAAATTGGTGTAGGCAAAGGATGAACAACATCACCATCTTTTAGAGAAACATCACTTCCATATGCAAGTGGTGCATTGAATTGCTCCTCAAACCTATAAGTCTGAATTACATCCTCGATTTTTGCAGCATCATCAAACCTATAAGCCTGAATTGCTATACCAATACATTCTTCTTGATTGAAATCAGTTGTACCACTAATACCATGATTAAATGCCACCTCAGTGAAATTGCCCAACATTTCTGTTGATCTACGAGCATAGAATGTAACCACCATTCGAGATACAAACCCTTTGGTTGTTGCAATTGTCTCCTTCAAATGGACATCCCCACAACAGTAACTGTATTCTAACTACATTATGAAAATCAGGCAAATGATCAAATTGAAATGGTTTTCTTTTATGGATTTCCTAGTTTCTACTAGGAATAAAACGAAATGGTCAGAAGAAAACAATGATACTGATAAGCGCCTTGTACCCAACATTGCCAACAATGGGTGGTTTGGGGGGTGGGGGGTGGTTCCTAATGGACATTGCCTAACTAGCCTCTAGGCAGTCCAACCCTTCCAATTGCGTCTTTTTCCCTAAAATTCCCACTATCGATTTAATAAACTCCACCTCATATTTCTCTTCAAAATGAACTTTCTTAGCAACTTCTTCCATGTTTTTCCCACTATGAATTTCCAAGAAATTTTTTACTAATTCCTTTTTCTTCCTTATAAGTCTTCCCTGGAAAGAATATTTCATTGCATACATATCTAAACCCTGAAACTCGCCTCAACTGCTATTCTTGTCACAAGCTCCTAAACTCATTTGTCTCCTTTCTTATTGTCATCGTCCCCTGAATCAGAAACACAATATAGTCCTTCCCGTTCGTAGTCATCCTTGGCCTCCTGTTCCCAACCTTCCTTGATGTCATTGTTTTAAAAAACGGTTGAGGCGCACCTCAATGAGGCGGCCAAAAACCGTTTATGAGGTGCCGTCTCTCCCTACTTCAATGGGTCTTACGCCTTTTATGGGTGGGGCACTGTTTGAGTCGGTGTGGCGGTGAGGCAAGGCAGAGGCGGTACGCCAGGGGCTTGTGGGTGTATCTTATATTTAAATGTGAGTGTATCTTATCATTATTTCAATATATAGTGGGGCATGTTATCATTATTTAAATGGATAGTGGGTGTATTATCACTATTTAACTATATTATTGATGTATCTTATCTTTGTTCAAATAGATCTTAATATTTTAATTTCATAAACAGAAAGATGGCTTCTTTTTAAGAACTCCACGTATCCTTTATATATAGCTGGGCTTTAGAATTTTTTTCATATGTTGTCAGATGATATATAGTTGTTCCACCAAATAACAATATCGGTGTGAAAACCTCCATTAAGGGATGTGCTTTCAGTTTGCCTTTTAAAGTGTTTAGAGAAGTCAAGGGATGACGAGCTAGGGGGTTGATTTTTATTTGCAATATCGGGGTGTAAACTCACTATTCCTCTCTCATCTCTTCTATTCCAGCATTGTGCATCATCTTCTACTCTTCTATATCATCTCTTCACAGCATCTCTTCCAACATCTTTTGCTCGTCACTCTTCTATTCACTTGCTTTTCTGTTTATTTTCCATCTTCAGTGTATATATTATGTTCTCTGTACTTACTTACATTTATATGTAACTGTAATTATTACATGAATTGCTATACTACCGCTATCGCATTAACCATTATATCAAATCATGGTCCTGAACGCAGTTTTAGATATTGACTGTTGTAACAGCATAGTTTTAAATAAAGTAATTATGTGTGAGGGGTTGATTGGTAGGACTTGGAGTTTGGGAACAGGTGATTTAAATTCTAATGCAATCGGTAACGTTACTTAATATTGTCCAGAAAGGTATATATGCGGTCGATCCTCCTTTTTAATAGGTAGAAAGGACAAGAAAGCTGTGAGGAATTTCTAAGACGATTATTTCTATTGTGATGCAGAGGGACACGAGTGGCTTAACTTCTGAGAACAAGGAACTCAAGTTGCGGTTACAGGCGATGGAACAACAGGCAAAGCTCAGAGATGGTAAGCCTTTTAATGTTGATTTTAGTGTAATTTATTCATTTTAAGTCGAAGAGATTTTGGGGCCATTTACCAATTGGGTAAGCGCTTATCTGGTGTCATTTACCTTATTTAAGTCGAGATTGTCTTTTTTAGGGTAATATAGTTAAATTGCTAATTTATCTTCATTAATTCGACAGCTTTGAATGAAACCCTGAGAGCAGAAGTGCAGCGGCTTAAAATCGAGACCGGTCAAATGCTGCCACTTAATGGGATGAACTACAAAAGATCATTGCCATCACCTCAATATTCTTCACACCCACAAACGTTTCATCATTTTGGCAACCAGAACACACAGCAACAGCAACAGCAACAGCAGATTCGAACGCCTAATAACCACCAGCCGAAACCTACCTTCATGGACTTCAATTAACAGGTATTTCATTGTAACAAAAAGAGGGTCATTTTGTGAAATGGGAGTGTAGGTGGTAAGTAATATGTAGATAAAAAAAGGATAGCAATGAGTGAAGATTGTTAAGATACAGCAACTGAGGTTCAAAAGGTTTGACTATCAGAAGTCAATGTGAAGTTTGTTTCAAAAGTATAACATTCCATGCTAACCGAATTGGATATTGTTTGCTTTGTCCATGCTTGGGCTTACGGTTTTAGTGTCTGATAGGAGAGGTATTAGTTCCCCTCCACAATCGATGTGGGATCTCATAATCCACCTCCCTTAGGGAGCTCAGTGTCCTTGTTGCACACCAGTGTTCCCTGTCTTTGATATCATTCATAGCATCCCTGACTAACTGTACCAGATATTGCCCGTTTTGTCCACATATGGATGTGTTTTAAAACCTCGAGTTCATGTAGACGATTCTTAATGAAGAGATGAATGAAGATGTGTCTTCTTTGTAAGCCTTTGTTTCGAGCTAATATGATCCGTTGACAAGGGAAGTGTAGATCATTTGGCTGAAACTGGTGCTTTTTTGTAACAAAATTCGGCCGGTGATGTTTGTTTGGTATTCTTGCCAATCTACCAAGTAGAAATAAGGGTGAATATTGGTCTATGTAATCAAGGTTCTAAACGTTGCAAGACATGTCATGATGGTAAGGTAAAGCCAGAGTGAGACCATTTAGGCATGCCTTATGACGTTAATTCTATATATTTATATATATAGGGTTGGGTTCCGGTGAGAATCATAAGAAGAAATCTTCACTCTTGGATCAATCATAATTGAATGTTAATAACGAGGTGCACCGAGATGCATCGGATTAATTCTCTTTTAAAGCACACTTCGTGAGTGGACATGAGATTAAAAGTGATCAAGGGTCTATATCTCTCCTTACATGTTCCACCATAACTTTCATTTTAACATGATTCTTTGCCTATATGTAGGGGGTATATATAGGGTTGAGTTCCGGTGAGAAGTGTAGGAATGGATCTCCACCCTTGGATGCACATTAAGATGAGATGCAGTGTATCAGGCGTGATTCATTGGTGGGTTTGAGATTAAAGGTGATCAATGGTCCAGATTCTTTTTAACGCTTCTCATCTTAACTTTCCTTCTCAAATGATCATTTGCCTATATATACATTTGCATATATGTAATTACATATAACCCAAATCTGATTAGGAACCCGTAACAGTACACAACGTTTCATATGTCCCTATTCAAGATGAATAATATAACCCAAAATTGATTATGAACACGATGTTTCACACGTTCCTATTCAAGATGAATAATAAGTTCATATTTCTGATGAATATGTCATATGTTACATTATGGTGGTTCTTGAGTTCCTAATCAATAATAGGTTCCTAACGAACCTGCCCTTGTATATATGATTTCTACTTTTATTCTAATCTAAGACCACATGCAAATAGGTTATATACAAAACCTAAAAAGTAACAAACTAAAGAGGGTTAAAAAAATCAAATAACTCAATAGTCTGATATCAAAAAACCTTCAATGGACCATGACGTCACGAGAGTTGACGTGATGTCAAAGACGAGTGTTGTGCCACGATAGTTGCCATGGCCCGTGATGTTGGTCATGGTAGTGTGCCCTTCAAAACACTAGTTCTAAGCATTTGGTTGTTAACCATGCCAACATGATCTTGGAGGTAACCAAATCTTTTGTTATGTCTACTTTTTCCAACAGTCGACGACTCTAATTGTTATCAGTTTAACGAGATTCCAGGTTATTTGGCCAACTATACACGACTATTTGGTAGTGGCCTAATGATATATAGAAAGTGGTTTGATACGAGGATTTGAAATGAGATGTAGCGAGATGCACCAGATCAATCCTCATGAATTGTGTTTGATACGATGATTGATCTGATACATCAAGGATTGAGATCCATTTTTATACTTCTCATTAACTCTATTTCTCATCGGAATCCAACCCTTTAAATAAAACCCTTACTATTTCAATGTTCACACATATCAACCTCTTTAATTTTACATGTGACCCAGAAGGAAGTTCGTACCATGGTATTGTTACGAAAAAGTGGACACGACGTTTTGTTAATATTTTATAAATAGAAATAATTCAAATAGGTCCATAATCATTGTTAAATAGCAAAGGTATTTTTTTTATTAACCTGGATATCCAACTCGCTATGCGAGCCGACTAATCTCAGGGAGACCACTTGCTTTACAGATAGCCCGGAGTCACCGTATTTGAACCTCCGTGGCCACAAGGGGATTTTTATTCCTCCTTGGATTTGAACTTGAGATCTCCTGGTACTCTTGACCTTTGGAGCCAAGCTCAAACCAATCAGGCACCACCCTTGTGGTTAAATATTGTGACCAATTTCGATTTTAATTTGCCAATTTTAATGACATTTATTAAGGGTGTATAGAAAACCGTCAACCCATGAAACCAGTCAAACCCTATCATCAAAACATCATCCATCAATTAAGAGTGTTGAAATTTGGTTAGGCCTAACTCAATCCGTCCAATTTGTCAATCCATCAATTAATCAACGGACCTTATCATAACAGTTCAAATAAAAACTAAAAAAATCAACAGACCTTATCACAACAATTCAAATAAAAACTACATCACCTGTAATCCAATAATATTTATGGGTTGAACTAATGATATTACGCATGTAGATAGAAAAAAGGGAAAGTAAACAAGCTACCTTCATGGAAAATTATCTGAGCCTGAGTCATCGGAATTCACGTTACATTATGTTCCTATTTTCAAGATATTCGCAGCCACAATCTTGATCAGGATGTTCTCAATTGAGTCGTACAAACATCTATCAGTATATACATTATAATAATCAAATTACAAAAGCCTATCAAGAGAGCAAGCCCATGGAGCACAATGATCATCTTACACCAAACAGAAAATATGAATAATGAAAAAAAAAGACTGGAATCTTAATTCAACACTAGTATCTGGATAACTATACCTTCAAAAGGCTATAAGAACAAGCAAATCATGCAAGTATACATGCTTACAAGTATCGTCCAAAGCAAGTAATAATGGTAAGTAATATCAGATATTTGTTCCATAGAGATTTAATATGCAAATAAAGTCACAAAAGTTAACTTTAAAGTGAGATTTCAGAAAAGTTTTTTTGGAAGCAATAAAGCTTCAGAGAGAAAATATCTTTGCGAGAGTTGGTAACCAAATATTGAAATATAACAATAATTAAAAGATAGTATGGATGCAAGATTGGGTTGGATTTCAGCAACAAAGTGTAGTGAATATTGCTACATAAATAATGCTTTACAATACTACTGGATTGAATGGTCTTCCAAGGAAGTGTAGATTAGACCATATGTTGGAAGTGCACTTGGTGATGCATCAATCTTAAACTAATACGGATTTTGTCTTTCTTTCCATATAGTTTTGCAACCCATAAGATTATTACGAATCTTTGTAGCCTCTATACAGGCCCGTTCCTGACATTTTTTAGGCCCTGGGCGAACGTAAAAGCAGAGCCCACGGCAAGAAACAAGGCTTTTAGCAACGAGTTTTGTCGTCGCTAAAAGTCCATTTATCATTAGAAAAAGTTATAACAACATGTTGTCGCTATAACTTGTGGCGGAAACATGTCGCTAAAAAGTGAATCGTCAATGCTCACTTTTTTTGTAGTGACCCTCGGTAAGTACGAAAAAAAATTCAATAAATATTTTTCATTAGTATAAAATTGAGTACAAGAAATTTTAATAATTTACCGAGGAAAGAAATCTTATTTATCTTTATCATATATATATATATATATATATATATATATATATATACTCTTATATATATAAGAGTACTTAAATTTACATACTTCTTATTAGGTAATTTGAAACCAAGAGTATATAAACTATGTTGATAATTTTTTTATAAAAAGTAAGAATTTTTTTAGTTTATAACAAGAAATGTGTGTTATTTTGATACAAAAAGAGAAATTCGTGTGAATGAGGTAATCGTGAGGGTCAATGAGAGATCAATAATAAAGAAGATTATCAAGGTTTTCTAGACAAGTAAACAAATGAGAATCACTAAAAATATGAAAGAAAAGATGATCCATTGAGATTCAATAAGAATAAATAATGAATTAAACATATAAAATGTAAGCTCAACAAAAGATTGTTTGAGCACTTAAATAGAAGCTTGTTGTGTAGTGGAATCCCAATGAAAGATACATAAGTCAAATAGTTGATGATAATATTTAAATTTTATTTTCCTTCTTTTTTTGCTCAATCAAAATAAGATGTTAAGAATAAAAAGTTTATAAAACATGACATTATAAGAGACATTAGTAAAAAAAATTATTTATTAATCATAAAACCATGAAACATATCATAAATTATAAGAACAATAAATTGATTGTCAAATAATAATAAAATATTTTATGTAGAAGCAAAAATAGATAATAATAGTCAACAAAAACAATTAGAACAACATAACCAAATAGCAATAGTCAATAGAAACAGAAATTGATAAAAATATATAGCAATAACAAGCACATGATTTTAACGTTGAATAGTTGAAGCACGAAAACAATCAAGCACATAGAGATAGCAATAGTTAATATCATTAGACCTTTTTGGTGATAAAAAAAATTAGAGAGTCAATAATAAACAATAACATATAATGAATAATAATTAATTTTTTTTTATTTTCTTCTCCAACATAATTAGTTGATATATTTTTGGACACTTATTATCTACTAATTTTTTTGCCCCTTATTCTATACTACAATTTTTTGGGTTTTTTTTAATTTATTAAATTATTTTAGACTACTATTGTATTTAAAAGAAAATTTTTGGGCCCCTGATATTTTTGGGCCCTGGGCGTGCGCTCGTGTCGCCCTCCCCCAGGGATGGCCCTGCCTCTATAACACACATAGTAAAAATATTTGTATTGTCTTAATTTTAAGTACAACTCATTTGAATAAAATAACATGTGTCAATTTGTCAAAGATTATCAGATGAAATATTAATACAATTTGTGAATAACGAAATAAATTGCTATTAGCAAAGCAATCATCGATTAACATTTGACGACTTAGCGTAATCTCACAACCTTCACTTACACCTATAATAAGGTATTTAGCCTAGCATGACTGAATGTAAGTAT